AGCAATTTTGGTTTTCATCAACTTAACAAGAACAAGTGGTTTTGCTTGCGATTTGTATTTTGGTATAGACTTGAGATACGCAACTATATTCTGACAATTTTTTGGTTTTATAGTTGGCAATACAATAAGTAGTGATTGTATTTACGATTTTTTTCTTTTATCGATTTTTTATGCGGATTGTTTATGATTTGCCTTTTCTGTATTATCAGCAATTATTTGCAATCTCTTTATTATCGGCTTATGGGGATAGCGACTCCACTCCTGGCTCAGATATGGCCAGAATGGGTGCTCCTTTCAAACTTTTGAAGAGGGATCTTGCGAGATTGAGATTTGTGATATTCGCTCACTTTTTTTAAGTGAGATTTACAACTTTTACAAGTGTTTCCCATGAACTACTCGTATGATGAGCGCTTAGATAGATGCGATAAGTGCGACCTTTGCTTTTTGTAAGTCTGGGTGCGTCACTGTATCACATTGCAAGTATGGTGATTCCTTACCTTTAATTTTGAATTGCATTTGATTATGAAAATTTAGGCAACTATGAGGCACTATAGTAAGAGAAGTGTCGATTTTTGGACTTTTACACCATATTGCGTATTCTTTAAATTGTCCTTTAGAGTTGCTAAAATGTCACCTATTGCTACCTGATAAATCTATTATAAATATTTCTGGGTTCATACTTAGAGATACCAGATTTGAGGTTGAATCAAGAACCATGTGAAACAACTTATATATATGAGAGTAAATTCAATAGCCATTAATCGGCAGTAGACTATAGAACTAGTCCACTTTAGAAACCAAGCCGAACCCCTAATAAGTATTTATGTGAAATAGAAGAGGTCGTCTGTAACTCCTTTATAACACCTTCAAGCATTATTGCGGTATAAGTCGCTGAACCTAACTAATCCTAATTCTATCACTTGTGAGCGGAGGCTATTGCAAGTTATCTCGTCTCATCACCATACTTGCAATGTGATACAGTGACGCACCCAGACTTACAAAAAGCAAAGGTCGCACTTATCGCATCTATCTAAGCGCTCATCATACGAGTAGTTCATGGGAAACACTTGTAAAAGTTGTAAATCTCACTTAAAAAAAGTGAGCGAATATCACAAATCTCAATCTCGCAAGATCCCTCTTCAAAAGTTTGAAAGGAGCACCCATTCTGGCCATATCTGAGCCAGGAGTGGAGTCGCTATCCCCATAAGCCGATAATAAAGAGATTGCAAATAATTGCTGATAATACAGAAAAGGCAAATCATAAACAATCCGCATAAAAAATCGATAAAAGAAAAAAATCGTAAATACAATCACTACTTATTGTATTGCCAACTATAAAACCAAAAAATTGTCAGAATATAGTTGCGTATCTCAAGTCTATACCAAAATACAAATCGCAAGCAAAACCACTTGTTCTTGTTAAGTTGATGAAAACCAAAATTGCTTCTTACAGCTAATATTCGCGCCCTCGGCTACTCCATCAACAGTACGCCGAAATACATTCAACAGCACATACGTGTAATACTAGGCTAAATATTCGCCTAGGGGGCCCAGGATGTTTAAATGAGTTAAACTTTTTCCTCCAAGTACACCACTCTACTCGGGAAAAACTGGCGCTCCCTAATAATGCCCATCACATACTCACCAATACACCACACATGACAACACAACATACCATCTTACATTCGCTTATTAGACTGCTAATACAGCGATCCACGGGGCTGAGCGCCACATGATATTTTTCGCAAAACCGGACTCGTTCCGCAACTCTTTTTTCTCTCAGCGACTTTCGAGCAACAAGCAACGGACTTTCTTTTGGGAGTCACTTCGTTTTCTTTCCGCACCGTTTAAATTGTCGCGCGTAATCAACGCTTATTCTTTATACATATTCGCTGCTTGTGCGAAGCATGTATTGTATTGTCTTTTTATTTAGTCATTAATAAAACTTTGCTAACGCAACACACTTAATAAAAAAGAGGTAAAGATATAATATTATGTTATTTAAAATATTATCTCACAATAATTAAATAATTCAGTAATTAATTTTCGTCTGTTTCAGCTACAATGTTTCAAACATCCCCGGAGCAGTCTTCCCATTATCTTGCCGAAATTTATAAAGAATTTTTATTACAACGCGAAGATTGTTTACGTACGTTAAGAGTCTTTTTGCGTGAATTGGTGCGTGTGCTTCGTTATGATATGAATATTGTAAAGTTCTGCAAATCATTTATGAATACAAGAATTGATTTAATGGAACAAGTTGAGCATTCGGAATTCAAAGAGAGAATTTTCCATTCCATGGTTGATATTATTTGCCTTTGCATGTTGTTATCGGTTTCTCCGCAAATCCGGGAAGCTTGCATTTTATTACGCTCTAACAAAGATATAAAAAATAATCCATTATTACTGAACTTTTACACCCAAATGTCTCAAATTCAATTAGAAGCCGTTTCTTGGATGTACGAAACGGTTCCAAACCTTTTCAAGATACAAAGTTTGGAATATAGCCAAGCCCTCCACAAACTTTTACTTTTGGACAGTCCCGAGCAATATTCACGATGTGATCAATGGCCATCAGAACCAGAGAGAGGAACACTCTTAAGGATTGTTTCGGAAACTCCAGTTCTGGAAGATACACTTCTGCGAATTATACTTATAGGCATTACTAAAGATATTCCTTTGACAATACCGGAAACTATAGATATCATAATGATGGTTATTAAGAGAGCTTCATCAATGAGAATTCTTAATTATCCAGCAGTGCAAGCCAATAAGTATGATGTCATCGACTTTCTTTTCAACATGGTGGAATATAACTATCCCGAAAATATAAATTTACCATTGGATTACGTTCCACCAAAGCTAGCTATTACAATTTTATATTGGAAGGCATGGATTATAATGCTTATGATCTCTGCTCATAATCCCTCTACTTTCGGAGCATTTTGTTGGAAACATTATCCTACTATGAAGGCTTTAATTGAGATGTGTATCACGAACCAGTTTGGTGAACAGAATCCTGCAAAAGAGGAACTTCAGGTATGGTAGCACCAATAGTTACATAGGTAGTAATAAAAAATGCAACAAAAAAATTTTAGTAAGGTTTAAATCGACATTATCAATTAGTAATTATTTCTGGGATGAATAAGTTTGGAAAACAAATTATCCAAACCGATTGCGTCAAAATTAGATTTTTTAATTGCCAATTTTATGTATAAAACAATTTCGTTCTTTGCGCTTGCCTTAATTAGTTGTTTAAATATAAATGAAACAACTGTAAAAAATAATTGTTAATTCATATTGGTTTTATACTAAAAAATACGTGGGTACATATATTAGAAAGCCAAAGCTTTTACATCAATTCGGCATTCACGTTCATTTACTCGATTAATGGCAATATTCGATTTACTTCTAATTTTGAGTTGTTTATGTATTACTATTGGCTATTTATAAATCATAACAAAAATTAACAATGTGAAAAAATAATAATATACAAGTACGTTAAGGTGGACATTTTACACTCTAGCAATTTACAAAGCTAGGGAAATACTATATCCAAAATTATACGTTCACTTAATTTTGCAAAGCCATATTACTTTATATTAAATACATATGTATATATAATTTCCAGATAATATTATGCTCTTATATACCTAATATACGAATTTCAAACTTGCGTTTGATTTTAAACTGTAAATATCAGTCAATATGTAAGATATGTTAGCAAAATTAGGTGAACGTATAATTCTAGCAAACTGTGTACCGAATATTTGATCAATGTATGAGTATGTTTCCAAAATTGCGTGGAAACATTTTCGCGAGCATACTTGAGTAATGCTAAAAGTCAGTGCAGTTAGTCCAAACCTTAACCTAGCCCCAATATACCCGATTTAGTGATTTTCGACTTTAAAGCTACCAGTACATAATTTATATTAGTCAATATGTATGAATTTTAAATCCAGATTTATTTGTATATGTTTTTTCGTACATTTTTCGTTTAGCGTTGCATATGAATGACATTGGTCTAGACTATTGTGTAAACCCCATATCTCTAGTATAATAAAAATTTAAACCTTTTAGATTGGTTTACTATATCTCAGGCCGTCCTTTTTTATTTTTGTTTGTAGATTTATATACATATGTATTTGTGTAAAGCTTTGTATACTTAATTATTATTTATTAATATATATTATATATATAAAATTATGTGGGACGTTGTTTGTCCGCGATGAACTCCTAAGCTATTGAACCGATTTCAGTCAACCTAAGCACGCTCAGTGCAGTTTGATTTAATTCGGAAGATAGGATAGTTTATATCTTAGCTTATAGTCAAAATATTTCTATAATATCGCAATTTGTTGCACAGAGTATAAGAGTTTGGTCCCCTAACAGCTGTTTGTGACACCTCAAACTAATCAAAATAGACTTGGTAGATCTAGTACCAAAGGTGTTAGAATTAAATTACCACAACCTTCAAAGAACAGACTTAAAGTGGGATGAATCTATCTATCATCTTTAAGGTGATCATGAAATTTTAAGAATATAAAAACTATGTTGGTCTTGCATTTCTATTGACTTTACACAGCTTCATAAGCATGTCTCCTAAATCAACTCCTCCCATAACGTAATTGTAAGGAGCAACAATCGATTTCACTATCAAAATAAGTTTTTTTTGGAACTCTAGCATTGATATATGTCAACAGGCATGAAGATATAAACTATTATTATTGATTTCACATTTGACATCAAAAGATCCCTTCAATCAAATCCATCCATCATCATTTTTATCGAAGTTCAAATCTTATTATTTTTTGTGATTGCTATTGTTATCGTTATACATTGCTTAATTTTTTTAAACCTTCCACTCGGCACTTTATCTGTTACAGTGGTGATCCTGAAATCAATCAAACACAAATATTACGTTTTTATTATTTTTTAAAGTATAGTATTATCGCTTGATGTCGAATAAGTTTCCCTTTGTCTGACTGTATAAATCAAGTGTTTCAAATGAACATAGATCGTCTTAAAAATACGTTGGCGCATTTTGTAATTTCATCTTTCATTTATCTCCTAATTAATTGTAAATTTTTTTATCGTTACAGTTAGTTTCTTTGGAAAAAGCCCAAATACTTCAGTTGGAATCGTATTTGGCTGCACAAACTTCACAAGCTATTATTACTGAGGATAATGCGATATTAATATCACAGTTAATGCTAATGGACCCAATGGGACCGGTTCGCAGAGTTCCTAATAATGTTTTGGAACAGGTGAAAGGACTAAATAAAAGCTTAAAATTGGGATACCTACTATGTCGCTGCCGTAGGCCCGATTTACTGCTTGATATAATTCAACGACAAGGTACAACGAAGTCTATGCCATGGCTTTCAGATCTGGTACAGAGCAGTGAAGGTGATTTCAGTCATCTTCCGGTGCAATGTTTATGTGAGTTCCTGTTATTTAATACCAATGCAATTAATGAAGAAAATACTCGGGATGGAGAATTGGTTTGTTATTTGAGGAATCTCGTCATGGAAGAGCAATGTCAGAAAAGAACTGTCTGCGAAGTTTTAGATTACATTTTTCGAAGATTGTCATCAACAGTTAAGCAATCGCGCAACGCTGCAATATGCGGGTTAAAAATAATTTTTAAAGATAACACCGATCTAAATGAATGGTTATTAAAGTCAATATCACATATTCCATGCTTTAAAGAGGCGCTATCTTTTATAATACCACAACTAAGATCTGCATGTCAGGTTGAAAATTCACCCCTGTTAGTAATGTCTTATATCCAGTTTGTAGCTGCACATACTATTAACGATGGAGTTATCGATATGCTCGATCACGTCATTGACATGGCACAATTAATTGTGGAACGGAGTACTATGTTTCAGCACATTATACCAGCGAATGGGGATCTATTACTGGGATATGACGACTGCAATTTGGCTGAGTGTCAGTTTCAAACTTTGAAATGCCTCTTTGTTATGTTCAATAATTATATTATACGTTTAAGAGAACACAGAGAGCCTTATGAATGGACTGAATACCCAGACTTACTTATGGTCCAATTCGAGGATGGAGCACAATTGCCCCTTCATTTAAACATTATTCACGCCTTTATAATTTTATTAACACAATCTAGTAGTCAAATGCCTGAATCGCTTCCAATTCTGGATTACTGGTTTCCTCCAGGTCGAAGGCCGCCATCTGGCTTCTTACCGAATATGCCACATGAAGCAGTGCAACTGTTACCTGATTGGCTAAAATTGAAAATGATTCGCTCTTCAGTGGACCGCTTGATTGAAGCGGCTCTCTTAGATCTTACTCCAGATCAAATTGTTCTGTTTGTGCAAAATTTCGGAACACCCGTGATCTCCATGTCAAAGTTATTAGCCTTATTGGACCATGCTGTGAATGAGGAAGTGGAACTAGTTAAAAGTGCAATACTTAACAAAGCTTATTTAGCTCAATTGATTGAAATTCAACAAAAACGGGGAGCAAAAAATGGCCATTTTACTGTAAAAGCTCTTGAATTATACTCTCATTCGCAAACTGTCCCAGATAATCCAAAACAAACTGATGTAGCTTTAGGCCTCTTATGCTTTGAGAAAAGCTTCCAACCTCTAGCACCTACATCTCCTTATCGAGTAAATAAAGACATTGAAGACATAATGTCGGATATATTAAAAACTTCGCGTTACCATTATCTAAGTTGTAGTCGATTTCGTAGGTTAATTAATCATTTCCTTGATAGAGATTTCTTCTTAACCAAAACTCGTAGGGAACTTATTACCAGTCACATTAAAAAAGGTTGGATATGCTTATTGCGAATTATTGACAGATACAAGCGTTCAATTTCTGAACAAACAACATCGCAAATAAAACATACGTGCACATTTTTAAGAGTACTTCTAAAACAAAAATTTTTAACTCCGAATGAGTTCGGTGTTGTATTTGATAAACTGACTGAATGTGAACCTTTATGGGAAGTAGAAATTAATTTAAAGAGAAACATTTATGTGTATATACAAAGTTTGTTCAAAATAATAAAACGGAAAGAGAATACATTTTTTGAAATGTCTTCAAAATCTTTTGGAAGTATAGCACGTAACCAGACCTTAGATGACATTGAAATGTTATTTGGTTTGCAAAAGGAGAAAATATCGGAAGAAGTGGAATTTTTGTGTCATTGTGGTTTAATTGTCGACCGCTTATGTGAAATAGATCCAGAGTTCACAAACTTACGTAAGCAGAATCAGATTGGCCTTCTATTTACAAAAAACTGTGCAGATTTTCGGTTCCATATACTTTCTTTAATATGTCATCAAATGAGTTGGGGAACTGTATTATTTACTTTAAAATTGTTAATGCAAGAAATCCAACAAAATATTGATTCTAGTACCGCTCTTAATTTCGTTGAAGCGCTTATTAATAATCCAAAACTTTGGCAAGGTCGAGACAAAACTATATCTAAAACTAATTTTCCGGATATAATGTTTTTATTAGACAAAACTGAGATGAATTCTTTACTTAGTCTTATTATAAATGAAGCCGATTCAAACTTCCATTCTATTTTAGAAGCTCACGATTATAAAATTTGCTCACGCATCAGCCTCCTATTTAGGGTAATAAGAAGGAACCATAAAGATATTTCCAAATTAATAGAATATATGGCCAGGAAATCGTGCTCCCATTTGTTGAAGATAAAGATTATACACCAAATGTATCTTTTACATCCTTCCATTCGCTTTACGACAAACAATTTAAAGGAACATGAAACAAAAATAGCCGCTTTAAGAGGTTGCAAAGCTGATAAAGTATCAAACTATCTAATTACTTGTCTAGGAAATCTTTTCCTTAGGAAAGATTTCGAAACACTTTCTAGTGATATAGAAATGTTAATACGAAAATTTGCTGCATCGCACCCTATTTTATTTTTACGCCAACTAGGTGTTTTGTCGTCTCTAATACAAGGTAGGGCTCAATTAGGTGTTCGCTTATTGCGCGACGAATATCACTTTCATCGTTTTATTCAAATATTACGAGCACTTCAACTATTGCAACCAATGTTATTTGACGACAGTTATAAATCTGAATTTCAAGCAGCATTGGAGTGTTATTTTGCATTTTTTAAGCATCACAGCTTTATTAAAGAGTCATATCACATATTGATAAAATTTGTTGAACTATTACAAGCATATATTAATTCCAATCCATCTAGCGCGCTGCTATATATAGAAAAGTATGTTGGAATTTTAATGGAATTGTCAGTGAAATTTAATTCCATAACGTCATTGCATCAACTTGTACAAGGTATAGCTCTTTTACGGCAAAAAAGTATCTCAATAAATGAGCTAAACGATGACGAAAATAAGCACGATTTTGAATTAGAAGAACATGGAAATAATAATAGCTTTATTTCAACAGATTGTGAAGCATCGGAACCTACTTCTACAAATTTGTTTGAATCTAATAACAAAGGAGGAGTTCAATTTTCCGTTTCTACCCCATTTACTAAACCACTTACATTGTCTCAACATTTTACTGATCTTATAACCATAATTAAAAACTCTAGTACGGAGGAAACTATTTTAGGACCTTTACAGGAAATAGAAAGTCTTACATCTAAACGTTTCTCATATTTAAACGAGGTCTTTGATCGATTACTGGAGCTAATATTTTCTCCAAGTGCACAGATACGCTCTAATGCCTTTATACTTTTAGTTCGCCATTTAAAACATAGCCCAGGTCGTTCTGACATTAATCGATGCACCTTTAATGCCTACATTCAATGTTTGAGGGATGATAATTCATCTGTTGCCACAACCGCTGTAGACAACTTGGTTGAAATGACTCTCCTATTGCAAGAGCATACAGTTGAAATACTTTCTGTGGCTTTTATTTTGGGAGTTAAATCACAATTAAATACCAGTACACAAATAAAACGGGTTTTACAAACACTAATGTTACAACATGGATACTAATTTCAGGCTTTCTACTAAATGAATACATTTTTACAAATTGAAATAAAAGAGATTCATAAATAAATCTGTTTTTTTTTACCAAATTTTAATTAAGGAGGGGGTGATAATATGCTATATAAAAACTGCACTATGAATTGAGATGGAACATTTGATACAATATAAATTTGTACTTAAAAAGTTATTTGGTTGCTTTTCCATAAATTTAACACAATATCTTAAAATAAACTTATACTGAAATATCAATTAATTAAAAACCTTACATCATATGAATAAATAATAAAATTTTTTCTTGATTGAATTCTTGTCAATAATTTCAAATTGTAGGACATACATTTTTAAATTTATGTCAATATATAATTCGTCTAAATAAATATCGAATTTGAAGTTGTTTTAATCTAAAACTGAACATTTTGTAGATTGATAAGGGGATTCGCATTCATTCTAGGAGGTATTTTTTAATGAAAATGTGGTTACTTCTGAAGATCAAATTGTTGATGAATTGCTCCAATTTGTTTGGTGCAAATTGTAAGTCTTATTGCTCAATAATATTATTGATATATATATAAGTATATATATACGTATAAAGCTGTGTGGTTTCAAGGGATTAGGTGGGTTTCAGAGATTAAAAAATGGTATATTTTTCGACTTTTTCAATATATACAATTATATACAGTTATTGACAATAATATATAAAAAAAGTAGATGGTCAATCTTTATTGTTTGTCCGATAAATTTCGGATACGTTTTGCCTGTAATGATGGATGGATCTGTTGCATTTTATCGTTATCTTTGTGTTCAAATTAAACACAAGTGTGCTTTTGTTGTGACAAAAAATAGAATCAAGGAATAAAAATAATAATAGGCGTTATTTAGTACACAATTATATTGTAAGTATATTTGTTAAAACTTTACATTTTGTTACAATTAAGTATTATTTGTAGAATCAATGGGCCGAGAAAATAAAAAAAAACCCAAAATGTTTATTGCTTTGAAGCTTCCAAAATAATGCAAATTAAGAGGACGACCACGAAAAACGACATGAGAGGAAGACAATTACATAGAGACATCGTCAATTGGGTGTAGACATTTTTTCGAGAACTGTGTCGCCTTGTAGAAAAGAATATCTTCAGAAAGATGTTCTGGAAAGTCTCAATGTTGACAAAAGGACAGCAGAACAATGGGATTGATTTTATTTCAGTGCATATCATATCATATGCCTTTTTTTGGTTAGGTAGCTGTGAACATGCGCAGTCTGCATAGTGAAAAGTGCTCCGTAATATCTGAAAATATTACATCAATTGTATATATAAAAGTGAAAGAATATTAAATTAATGCCTCATATAAGTTTCCTTAAAAGAAAATAATAATTCTTATAAGAAAATATAAAGGATGTACAAAGAAAAGTTCGATTAAATTTTGATATTAAACCATAATTTAATTTCGTACAACAAAGAAAGATGTGTGCGACGTAATATTGTGAGGTGTAATAATAAAAAGCATAACAAACATTAACATTGATTGTAAATCAGACATCATAGAGTGAATTAATGCATTGATAATACACGAAAATAAAAAAATTACTCCGGAATTATTTGGAACATATCTTTTTTTCCTGTATCGTGTACTTACAAAATGCCACCCAAAAAAGTAAATACAACACAACAGACGTCAAAGGATATTGAAACCTTATTCAAGAGACACTTTGAACGTTTTACAACAAATTATGAACGTGAGTTCAGGGACCTTAAAACATCAGTTTTAAGTGAAATCAAGGACTTAAGAAAAGAGGTAAGCAAACTGTCAGAACAATACGTCTCGCTATCAAATCAATGTTCTGCCCTGGATGACAGACTTACATCAGTTGAAGACAAGCTTAACGTAGATATGAGGCTGCCTACCAGCCAGGAAGCGTTTTTCACTGAACTGTCGGAACGAAAACGCCGTGAAACCAACGTGATTGCCCTAAATATTCCTGAGTCTGATAAAGCTGCTGGAAAGGACCGTTTAGAGGATGACAGAACAAAGTTAGTTACAGCTTTGCCTCCCAGTCTCAAGGCCACTGAACTCAAGTTACGTAGACTGGGTCGTCCTACACCTGGACGTACACGTCCTCTTCGCATTGCCACCCGCTCAGCAGCCGATGCACTTGCCATTATCAAATACAGACCAACAGACGAAAACTCAGGTTTTATTTTCAAGACTGATCTAACTCCCTCTCAACAACTTCATCTGAAAAATTTGCGTCAAGAGCTTGATTCAATCGTAAAGAGTGGTGATGACAGTAACACAATTAAATATATCCATGGTGTCCCTAGAATCGTTAACAGAAATTTTCGTCCGCTCAACGAGCAAGAAGAAAGTATCTTACGTCCACCTGTGCTACCAGAACGTCAGAGGTCTGCGTACAAAACTCTCAACATTTCAAACAGCATTGGCGGCTAACCAGTACGACGTTGTATGTATTTCGGAATCCTGGCTTCACTCATCCATATGTGATGGTGAAGTCATTGATTCAACATATATTATTTACCGTAAAGACCGTGTTTCTCTCATCAACGAGCAGGTACGTGGTGGTGGTGTCTTTATCGCCTGTAAACGTAGTCTCCATACAGAAAAAATTGCAATAACAAACAACGATTTAGAGCAAATATTCATCCGTGTCAAGGGAGCTTCTCGCGATATGATCATCGGCTGCATCTACATACCTCCTCAATCAACTCTTGAGATCTTCGAGTGCCACATAGCTACCGTTTCATTTATAATAGACAAATACCAAAACTCCAACGTCATGATTGTCGACGACTTCAATATTCCTAGCAGCTTGCCTCGTGTCGAATGTGAAAAGAAACTTTATGATGGCTTTGCCTCATTAAACTGCACTCAACAAAATTACATTCAAAATGCCTGGAACTCAACACTTGACCTTTGTTTCAGTGACATTGACTCTTCTCCGGAACACGCAGTTGCTCTTGTCCCGGAAGATAAGTACCATCCTGCTATCGACATCTTGCTAAATTTTCGGCAGGGGTTGACGCCAGATAATTCCTCATCATACGTATTTAAAAAGGCTAACTACGCAGCCCTTAATACCTCTCTCTTAAGAACGAACTGGATTGACCTCTACAAACTCGAGACTATTGACAGTAAGTTGGACTTTCTCTATGAAAAAATCTTTGAAGGTGTAAACCAGTTTGTTCCAGTACACGTACACAAGCCAAGTAACTATCCATCTTGGTTCTCACATGATCTCATTCACAAAGTCAAACAGAAGAAATCTGCACACCTGATATATAAAATTTGGAAAACTAAGCCAAATTATTTACGATTCAGCAGGTTAAGATTGAAATGCAAAAAGTTAAGTATCGATTGCTACAAAAGTTATGTCGACAAGGTAGAGGACAAACTGCAATCGGAGATCAAAGCATTCTGGAATTTTATCAAGGACAAAAACCGTTGCACCGGTGACATACCATCTTCCGTAGCCTGGAATGACCGCTCAGCAGATACGGGACCGGGTATCAGTAACCTCTTTGCGTCCTTCTTCCACAACATCTATGCGCCATCGAATAGCAACGACCCAGGTATTGCAACCTTCAATCCTGGTACACAGCGCACACACTTGTATGCCCTGACAGTGACCTACGATGCAGCACTCAAAGAACTCCTTGCTCTCGACCCCAGCAAAGGTCCAGGCCCCGATGGTTTACCTAACATATTCATCAAAAACTGTGCGGTAGGCCTATGTGAGCCTTTGACACATATATTTGGCGAATCTCTTCACCATGGTACCTTCCCGACCTACTGGAAACTGTCATACATCTCACCGATTCATAAAGAGGGGCCCAAGACCTTGGTTACCAACTACCGTCCTATCTGCATACAGTCTGCACTTGCAAAACTATTTGAGAGGTTAGTGCTTCCACAGATACGTCAGGCATTTGAAAACATCATACCAATTTGTTCATATACGTCGACAAACTGCTGAACTCCATGGATTCCGGCAACTGCACACACAGCATTTACACAGACTTCAGCAAGGCTTTCGACCGTGTTGACTACGAAATACTTTTAGATAAGCTAAGTAAATATGGTGTGGCTGGACGTGCATTAGCTTGGATACGTACATACCTCACAGGCAGACGCTTGCAAGTCAGAGTAGATGGCCACTTATCCAGTGAATATGAAGTAATCTCTGATGTGCCACAAGGATCTCACCTTGGTCCTGTACTATTTAACATCTTCGTCAACGACATTGGTAATAATTTTGCTTCTGATTTCCTTCTGTATGCTGATGACCTCAAAATATTTAGACCGATTACTTGTGAGACAGACATCATAATTTTGCAACAAGACATAAATATCCTCAGTGACTGGTGTCGAGTGAACAAGCTGGATCTCAACGTAAACAAATGTGCGGCCGTATCTTTCGCTCGATCACACTCACCGATCCGCACGAGCTACAAACTTGATGGGCTTGAGATAGCGGAGGTCGAGAACATAAAAGACTTAGGTATCATTGTTGATAATAAGCTCACCTTCTCACACCACGCAGACAAAATTACATCAAAGGCGTTCAAAGCCCTTGGATTTATACTGAGGAGTGGTAAAGATTTCAAAAACCCTTGGACACTCATTAGACTATTCAAATCACTTGTACTACCAATTTTGGAATATGGTTCGGTAATCTGGTCTCCCTACACTAACACGACAATCGATAAAGTTGAAAAGGTGCAGCGTAAATTGTGTAAGTCACTGGCCTATAAACTATCGTCACCAAGTCACATCTGCAATACTGATGAGGTCTACCAGTGCTACTGTATAAACAAACTGTCTTTTCGTCGACAGGTCGCTGACCTTTGCTTTTTCTACAAAGTAGTCAATAACATCACTGATGCTCATGAGATCCTAAACAGTTTTGAACTCGCCCCTGCTGGTCTTACCCTGAGGCGAAATAGATTACTAAAACCTTCGAAATCCAAGAAAAATTATGTTATCCATGGTCCTCAGAATAGACTGGCTAATTTAGTAAATTCACTTCAAGGTGAAATTGATTTCTATGGAGGAACATACGCTGCTTTTACCGAAAACACCAAGAGACACCTGCTCGTCTGAATTACATCTAAATCAAGTCTGAATTACATATTAACTTACAATTATTTAAATATTTTCCAGATATTACACTAATATACCCTAGCCACTTTTGTATAATACTTTAATTCTTTATTATATCTATGTATATTGCCGATTGGCGTTTAAATAAATAAATATCAATTGAACCGGTGAAGAAAATGCAACAAGGTGGCGTAAGATCCTTCGGTCCGATAAATCTAAAATAAATATGGTAATCCTATAGAAACCCGTGGAAGATTATAAAGGAAAAGTTGGCACTTTTTAAACCACGAAATAAGGAGGAATTAAGGGAAAAAGTCTAAGGGACGTGGTATTCAATAACAAATTCAGTCTGTAATGCTCTAGTGGATTCTATGCCGAAAATGTGCGGTGCCGTACTCGCAAATAATAGTTTTGAAACAAAATTCTAACTTATATGCAGTTTTTAGTTATAATAGTAAACTTTTTACGAAGTTTTTTTATGATTCTATTTTATTGTCAATTGAAGTTCCTGACAGTTCCTTTAAAAGTTGTCTGCTGATAATAAATTTATATTAAGTTACTGTTGCTTTTGAAACATTTTAAATAAATTTTATTAACTTTTAAAAATAAATGTTTCCTCCTAAGAACAATTCAGGATATCAAAGATACATATCTAAACAATATTATGTGAAATTTTTATTTAAAAATTCCGAAAGCTCAGCTGTTGGTGTCTCGTCTCTCTTGACGTCTCAAAATAAATGCTGATGCCGTGAACAGCATAACTCATTATTAGTTCAAATTTTGAATTTTTGATAGACTTTGAACAAAGCTCGAAAAAATGAGTGTACGAGGGTCGCCTTTTATATTTCGGGATTAGAGAACAAATATAATATTAATCATTGATAATCGCTTTATTATTTTCAAAATATTCTCCATTAAGATTAATACACTTTTGCAAATTAACTTCCTTCTTTATGGAAGTATTAAAAAATATAGTTTTCCGCGACTACGGGCGGAAGAAATCAAACGATTAAGTTGAGTGGTCCTGATGGAAAACTGAATATCTTTATTTCAATATTATAGTTATTTATTTTATCCAAAATAGCGTTATATGATATTTTTTGAGATTCTAAATTTCTATTTATTTTAGAATTTTTGTAAAATTTTTTAAATTTTACAATCCTATAAATTATGTACATTATTAACAAAATTATAAGTATGTATCATAAAAATGAATGATGTTTAAAAACTTTCATTCGTTCAGCTAAAATATTTTTGTTTTCAAAGTTCATTCCTTTATTTTTTGTTTTAATATATTCTATAATTTCAAAATTATTAATATGATTGTTCTTTAAATATTTCCAAATTTTACAATAGACATTTTCATATATAACATTATTAATATTTGTATAATTCTCAAAAGTAACAAGGTAAATTCCATTTATGGCATAGCCATCAACTGTGTTATTTCCGGAGACTAATATTGCTCCTTCTTTAATTACATCTATTTCTTTATTTTTTTCTTTTATTTTTTTACATTTACCTTTTATTCTGAACAAAATATTTAATAGGCAAGTATTTGTATTATTAATTTTTACAATTTTTTATATTAATATATTCTTTTCTGCATTTTGCAATTTCTTTGCCAATTACTAATTTACCGTCTTCTTGTGTGACTGCTCTTACTTCATAATATTTGCAATCATTTATAATTTTTGGATACTTAATATAATATATATAACAATTACATTTTTATTTTGTAATATCTTAAAGTTGGAAATGTCCATTAAATCGGTTATAGTCAATCGTCCGTGTTCATTTTGTATTATATTTTTTATCAATTAACTTGCTTCTTTATGGAAGTACTAAAAAAGTATAAATACAAGATTTAATATTATCTTATGTACTATTCTATTTCTGTAGTTAATTTTAACCTTATTCCCTAAATCTTCTTTATTACTTGTTACTTGTATCTAGGCTTTAGCTTATTTCTTTCCCCTATTATTTTTTCATATATAACATCTCCACATAAATATGTTTTGTTAAATCTATTTTTAATTTGTCTTTCTAGCATCTTAGTTTGTGCTAATAAAAGTTTGTCTGGTAAATTATCATGAGAGACCTTATTATAAAGGACTTCGAATGGTTTCTTATCAGTAACCGAATGTATAGTTTTATTGTATTGGTGAGCGGCTCTATACATTGATTCTGAAAAGCTGATTGAATTATATTCTTGTTTTATATATCGTGATATTTCAATTATTGTTGAATGGACCCTCTCTATCTGACCATTTGTGGTGCTATGATTTGGGTTGCAGAAATAAATTTCAATCTGAAGTCTCTGCATCAGGGATTTAAATTGTACCGTAGTAAATCCTGGTTCATTATCAATTGTTATTCTCTTTACATTAGGGAAACTTTGTAATATATCTAACACTTTATCTTCTAAATGAGTCTTATCTTCAATTTGTTTAATAACCAAAAACTTTGAACAACTATCGATACATGTAATGAATTTTAATGATTGTGCATAAAATATATCTATGTGTATTTGTATTCCCTCCTCTTTAGGTATAGGGACCGCTCCAATAAGTATTTTTATGGGAAGTCTATCATATTTATTTTTATTACAAATTTCACAACTTCTAATGTATTCTTTAAATTGTTTATGCAATTCTGGCCAATAGTAAAAAGTTGAGATTTGTTTAATATTTTCGTCAAAGCCCCTGTGTGCTCTGTTATGAGTTTGCTCTATTATTGTTCCCTGGTCTTCTTTGTTTGGTATATCCATGGGAAAATTGTTTGTAAATAAAAACTTGTTAGTAAATATTTCTTTTAATTTAACCTTTATTTCATTTAAGTCTTCAGGTGTACAATATATTGCAGTTACAAGATTTGGTTGTAAAAATTCTTGTGTATCATATTCAATAATATGTCTAGTTTTATTAAAATTATTAATAGATTCGTGAATGGTAAAGCGACCTTTACTAAGAAGTATTTGTTGCTTGAATTGATTCAATGGTTTTTTAGTTTCTTGAATTTGTGTATTATCAGAACTCTCTGCTGAATGTTGTGTGTCCATTGATGAATCATCAGTTATATTATTTAAGTTTTGTCGGGATAAGGCATCCGCGACTATATTAATTTTTCCCGGTTTATAAATCATTTTTGGAGCATATTCCTCAATAATGGTATGCCATCTTTTCATTTTTACATTAGGATTTCTTGAAGAGACTGCAAAAGTCAAAGGTTGGTGATCTGTATGTATTTCTAAATCTGATACTCCATAAAGGTAGTTTCTTAAAGTTTTTAATGCCCAAACTGTGGCATAAAGTTCTTTCTCATTTGTTGAATAATTCTTTTTTGTGGAATTCAATGTTTTGGAGATAAATTTAATAGGTTTTCCATCTTGGCTTAATACACCACCTATTGCATCATTTGAAGCATCGTTTGCTAATATAAATTTTTTATTAAAGTCTCGTTGCGTTAATTCTACTTGATTGGTTAGTAATTGTTTTAATTTTTCAAATGCTAAAATTGCGTCCTGTTCTAATCGAACTTCAATTTTCTTTGACATATGCTGAGATGCATGTCCATTTTCTCCTGATAAATGTTTGTTTAGTGGTTTAGCTATTGCTGCGAAATCCTTGATAAATTTCCTATAGTATCCAATCATTCCCATGAAACTTCGAAGTTGTCGTACTGTTTTTGGTAACTTTATGCGGATCCGTTTTAATTACATCTTTTGCCACTATATATCCTAAAAAATCAAGTTCATTTTCAAAAAGTTTTGACTTTTCTAATGATATTTTCAATTCAAATGTTTTATATGATCGACTAAATTGCGTGAAAAAACAATTATATCATCAATTTATACGTGACAGAATTTTCCAATAAATTCTCTTAGTACATTATCCATAGCTCGTTGGAAAATACTTGGTGCATTCTTTAAACCAAATGGCATTCTTAAAAATTCGTATTTTCCATTATTTACTGAAAATAAAGTTTTCTCGATGTCCTCAGGCTTCATTAAAATTTGGTGAAATCCTGATTCTAAATCGATTGTGGAGAAATACTGTGATCCCCCTAGATTTGAAAGTATAACATTTGTATCTGGTATCGGATATGTATCCGAAATAGTAATTTCATTTAGTTTTTTGAAATCCACTACCATTCTTAATTTTGCTGTGCCATCATCATTGATACCCTTTTTCGGGACCACCCAGATTGGAGAATTATAAGTACTTTTACTTGGTCGTAGAACTTCGTTTTTTAAAAGATTATCGATCTCTTTATTCACAAAAGCATGTGATGCTAAAGGATACTGATACTGTTTACTCCAAATTGGAGTATTTACCGAGGTTCTTATTTCCGCACGAATATCCGTTCGAAACGGTAAATTCATGTTTATAGAAGAATGTATTTCATTTATTTTATTTTTTATTTTTTCCCTCAAATATTTAATTCTTTTTCATTTATGCCGGTATTTCCTTCGGCTGGTGCTTCAGAGAATTCTTCCTCTAAAGTTATTTTGTTTATATAATCTTCTTTATTGTCTGTAAGTACGTCGACTGGCGTTGTAGAACTTTTTTCTTCCACAGTAACTTTTATTTTTTTGTGGCCGGTATTATCATCGGCTGGCGTTGCAGAACTTTTTTGTTCCACCATAAATTTTTTATTTTTATTGCCGGTATTATCTTCGGCTGGCGTTGTAGAACTTTTTTGTTCCACATTATATTTTTTATTTTTAATATATTCATTGTGCTGGTATAAATCTTCAGCTGGCGCTTTAAGAGTCTCTGCTTCCAAAGTAATTATAATTCCTTTAGTGTTTTCATTTTTTAAATTTATTATTTTATCTCGTGTTGCTCAGACTCATTAACTAAGCTAAATATGTCTTCTTCCTTTTCATTATTTATTATCAACTTTTTTTCTTTCAAGTTGATCACTGCATTAATTTCTTTCAGGAACTTGTATCCAATTAAAAAGTCTGCTTCTAAATTTTCGATTTCGTAAAAAAATTTGTCTTTTACCAAATAGATAAAATGATAATATCGTATTATCGAAAATCCATTAATTGTTTTTACTCTTTTATATATATTTAATTCGTTTTTATTCTTATAAATTCCTGATTTTATATAGCAACTTGTTGCTCCCGTATCTACTAATATTTTAAAGTTTTGGTCATTAACTCTGTCATGTAAGAAAATATATGGCAGAGTTAGTTTTGATCGAAAAAATTATCCTCTTTAATATTATTTATCCTTTGTGTTTTATTTGGTGGTTGATTACTTATTTGTGCGCTGGCATATGGTCGTTTATCTGTAGTATGAATTATTGTATTCTGTACATTACTTGTATTATTTGCATTATAATGTGGTTGATTTTGGATTCGAGTACATGGATCGACATCCATTGGGATAGGTCTTGCCTGAATGTTTTGTTGTAAGGGCCTTTGGTTGTAGCCTCTTTGAAGTTGGGTTTGTGAAACCGTAAATTATTATTGAAATTTCCGTTATTGATGTTAGTACGTTATCTATAATAATTCGGATTTTTTCCCGAATTGTGATGCGAAAATTGCTCGCATATTATTCGATTCTAATTCTTGTGCTTTTGCCAATGCATTTGGCAAATCACTTGGTGATACTGAAAATAATATATTGGCTAAACTTCCATTTAGACCTGTTATAAATATACGCAACGCATCCCGCCTATTTTTTGCGTTTAATTTTTTAGTAACGACTCTATCCGATCCGTAAGTCGTTATCGTTTTATTAATAAGTAAAGTTAATTTTTCATTAACCTTATTATAGTATTCTATAATTGAAGAAGTGCCCTGTCGCAAAATGCTCATCTCCTGTTCGATAATATGAGCTGGTCGCTTATCCGCGTAAGCAAAATCGAGTCGTGCCAAAATAGCATCGAAATTAAGAACCGTCCTGTGATTGGATAAAATGTCGTTAGCCTCGTTTGTGGTTTTATTTCTTATTATAGTTAATACAGCAAAATATCTACGGCTGCCCCTTACATACAAACTCATTGCGTTATTGGCTGATTCCCTACAGCTAACGTATTTAGTTTGTTTTCCATTAAATTCTGGTAGTGACTTAACCACCTCAAGTGACTCATCACAATTGATATGTGAATCAATCACTTCTATTTTATAATCAATTACTGTAGTTGACTGTGTTAAGTCCTGCAGTTGCCTTCGCAACTCCTCTACCTCTAATCTAAGAGAAGCATTTGTTGCAGTTATTAGTCTAGCAACAAGATTCTCGTTCTCACTATTTAGAGCCATTTTTTATTATTTTAGTTTTGGTGTGCTTTAAATATGGGCAAGTTTCAGATTTATGGTTGCCCTAACAATAATTACAATAGTATAGTCTTTCGTATCTTAGTGTACTTGAATTATTTCCCATTAAAAAAATTTGTTTTCTTCTAGGACATGATGCTTTTTTTAAATATTGTTTTAACGTCTTTCCTTTTCGCATACCCTAATCATAGCTATTGTTTCAGATACTATTGTATCCCTATTGTAATAGTCCTCAATTGTTGCTACTTTGTTTTTTCCTATGTATTTAAAAACTGCCCTCATACAATTTATTTTATGTTTTTTAGATGGGTCATCCTTTAGTAAATAATTTTTGGAAGGATTTTCAGTTTTCCCTAAGTTTCGAATCATTTTTTCTAGTTTATCAACATCCAAATCTACTGGTAATGCCCCTGCAATATTTCTAGTATATGTATATAATAAATAATGTGCTTTTACTTTTTATCTTGTTTGTTTCTACCTTATCCTTTTTTTTAAATTTTAATAAGATTTATCTGACCTACATTTGTCTGAATCAGTTGGTAAAGCGACTGTCATTTTTGTCGAAGTTTTGGAAATACAATTTTTATTTTATTTTCTTATATATATATATATATATATATATATTCTTTGTTTTTTTTTTCTTTTCTTACAATAATTTTTTTTATCCTTTCTAGGAAAGGAAACTCTTTTATTCTGGAGGGTCTGAAGTACAGAATCGCAGAATTGAGTTTATGTTATAAACAGGAGGGTCCCCCATGCGGTGGTGAATCGCGGTTTCAAAATATTTGTTATATGGCTGGTCGAGCCTTGATTTATAACATGTTTTTTTTATAAATTTTAGTACTTATACTTAAAATATTTTATATTACTAGAATTATTACAATTAAACAATTTTATTGTTATAAATGTAATATATATTAAAATATTAACTTACTAGTTTTTCGTCCTTCTCTAAAGGGGTTTGTTGATTGGTGTTATGATTCCTTTGTTTCTGTTGATTCCTGTTTAATTGCTTCGCTTGTACTGATTGCTGTTTAATTGCTTCGCTTGTGCTGATTGTTGTTTAATTGTTTCGCTACTGTTGATTTCTCGCACGGGGTTTGTGTACCTTTGGCCGCTGAAGTTTTTTTTTGCACTATTCTTTTTGTTCTGACTCTTCGATTGTTAATATTTGAGGTTATGTTTTATATTTTTTTTACACATTTTATTCAATTTGAATTGCTTCGAAATTGGCGTAGTTATAGAGCAACACTTTTGTTATAATTCGCTTGCTGTCATTGTCATTTCACTACATAGCGTTCCATTTTTTGAAGATTCGTTTGTTCACAGCGTTTACACTTTGCTTGCAATCGCTCTACCCATAAAACAATACTATATTAGTAAGAATAAATTGATTTCTTACTTCACGCGAAAATATTTTCCACAGTTCTTACTCTTCAAACTTTAAAAATCTTTAGTATTAGAACTTTTTGATTTTTTGGTATTTGAATCGGTTTTTGTGTTTTTTTGTTATTTTATTTGTGCACTCGCGTAGCCGTACTTTTTGATTTTCGGGCCTTTTATTCGCGTCGTGCTCGCGTAACCGTATTTTTGATTTTCGGGCCTTTTATTCGCGTCTTACTCGCGTAGCCGTACTTTTTTTGTTTTTTTTTTTCCTTTTCTCCTCCCGAGAGGATACTTGATTGCTATTTTTTGTGGTTTCGACACACGTCACTATGATTATCCTTTCGGCTAGGGATACTTGTTTTTTTCTCCCTTTTTTTACCGAGGATATCACTAACACATGCCCCACGCGTTGGGCGCCAATTAACTTCCTTCTTTATGGAAGTATTAAAAAATATAGTTTTCCGCGACTACGCGCGGATGAAATCAAACGATTAAGTTGAGTGGTCCTGATGGAAGACTGAATCTCTTTATTTCAATTTGCTCTTATTTATACATTTTTCTTATATGCTTAAGTCTTACAATAAGTGACAATTTACAATATACGCTTATTCGGCAATTAGTTTTATTGTTTACATTGTATGGGTGGCCTTAGCTTAAAAAAGAGTATTGGTTGCTTAAATAAGCAAAAATGCTTATTTAAGAAGCTGTGGTCTTAGTTTTATTGAAAAGAGTATTGATTACTTAAATAAGCAAAGATCCTTATTAAGAAGTTGTATTATTGCTGGGTGCAAAGAAATAGTTTTGTTTATAATGATCGTAAAGCTACTTTGTGGAGGCTGCCGTTAACTTGCATACGTTTGAACCAATTGTCGAAGTACTTTTGCTACTCTAATCCAGGAATCCAAAACAAGCGTTCTGTACACATCAAACGCCTCTTCAGGTGTCGAAAATGTTGACCTCTTTATTTTTTACGTACCAAGTCAGGATTGGTGGTGATTTTGAGTGCTGAAAAATGCAGTTGTTTCAATCGATGTGTGAGATCTCGCATTGTCGTGGTGAAGAGTGATCCGTCTTCAGCGGTTGGTTTTCCTGATTTCTTAAAAGGCAATTGGCAACCAAATGGTTGTGCACCACTCAGAATTGACTGTTCCAGTTGTATGGTAAAGGAAACCATTTGCTTGGAAGTGGTTCGTACACGAAAAACTTTGGCTGCATTCTGCTCGTCTGGAAACACCTATACAGTCGACTGCTTTTTACCTTTGTGCTCATATGCGTAAATCCACGATTTATCAGCTGTCACGATGTCATAGACGTGTTTCGAGGCGCCGCTATCGTATTTTTTTCTAACATTTCTCTCGACCGATCGACACGAGCCTGTTTTTAAGTGATTGACAAATTGTGTGGGATCCAACGTGAACAATTTTTTTCTACAGTCAAATGTTCACGTAATATTGAATGTATGCTGGTCCCAATAATGCCTATAGTTGTTTGTGAATCTAACGATAGGTTACATGATCTTTGCACAAAACATCTATAGATTCCGGAACAGCAACTGATTTTGGACGAATCACACGAAATTCGTTTTGGAGTGATCTAAGACCTCGATTGAATACACCTTACCATCAATACACACTGGCCCTTGATGGAGCTTTATCACCAAAAATTTAATTAAGTTGGATTAAGGAATGTAGCAACGCATTAGCTAATGGATTGGGATGATTACGGAGTTTAAACTCATAGGGTTTTCTGCTGTACTCTACTTCTTTCTTTACCATAGGAATACAAAGATCTTTGTGAATGTTTTCATTTCGAATGTACCATGGTAAACATTTCATCTATTGGAAGTGAAGTTAATGCGTTTTAAGTGTCAGTATGTTTTTGTCATCGGTGCGAAAATGAACAAACTTCGAACAAAGAGCCAACATTAAATTTTGTTTGAAAATTGGTAAAACTTTTACCGAACCGTTTCAATTGATGAAACAAGTTTATGGCGATGATTGCCTATCCCGTAGTAGAGTGCACGAGTGGTTTCAAAGTGGTCGTGAGGACATTGAAATTCATGAAAATAGAATTGCACATCTCCAAAACATCGATTTATCGCATTTTGACCGAACATTTGGGCTTACAAAAGGTGTGTGCACGGTTTGTTCCGCACAAATTGACTGACGACCAAGAATTGCTCAGAATTCAACATTCGAAGGACATCATTAAAGAGGCAAAAAAACACCCAAAGTTTGTGACTGGTGACAAAACGAAACGCCAGAGTGCTGAATGGAAGAAGCCGGACAACCCGAAACCCAAAAAATCGCGCCTGGAGAGGTCAAAAGTGAAGACAATGCTGATTTGTTTTTATGATTCCAAGGGTACTGTCCACAAAGAATTTGTTTCACCCGGCCAAAACGTTAATGCGGTATTCTACCTTGGAGGTTTGAAGCATTTGGTGCGCCGTATTCGACGTGTTCGGCCCGAATATCGCGAAGATGGATGTTGGCGTTTGTTGCACGATAATGCGCCGTCTCATCGATCGATTTTCGGAAAAATGCATTTGCCGATGAAAGGAAATCGTAATGCAGACGTGGAGGCCATTTAAAAGGCTTGAACCGGCATACTGGCGGCGATACCGGGCAACGAGCTAAAACACTCGTTCGGCATGCTTTTGGATCATACAAAAAGCTATATTAAAGCAGAAGGAGACTATTTTGAATAAAATTAATTGATTTTGCCGATAAAAACATTTGTTCTGTACTTTTTTTAAAAGTCCTGTTTACTTTGGAACACACCTTGTATTAGTTTTGTTAAAATAGTTAATTATTATTATAAAAAATGAAATAATAAACTCACCATCCAGAATATATCTATCTGAAAGAGTGACATAACACGTATGGAGTTAATCTTTTGTCCTGATTTTTAACAGGTTGAAATTTTAAATATTATGAACACCATATTTGTACGCTGTGGATAAAACACAAATGACTGAAGAGCAAATTTAGTTTTACCTAAAATGTATATTTCTAGGAGTAGTAGACTCTTTTTGCTTGAAACACTTCGCACAGTTCCTAAATTTTACTTTTACTGTTTCCAAATTGTAGCTTGTCTCTTCCAGTTTCGTGATTTTAATCTACGAGCTCAACCAATTTTTCACCCTTCTATGTAAAAACTGATCAAAATAGTGTACAGTTATATCTGAATTTATTTTTTTTACATATTCTAAATTATCTATTTATATTTCTCCTAAACAAAGACAATAATGTTCAACTACAACTGCTTGGCAAAAAAGAGAGTGTACCGTTTCAACATAAAGAAAGCTTTCACATAAAGAAGCTTTAATTTTATGTTTGTCAGTTTAATGAAATTTTTGTATTTTTAATTTTTCACTACCAGCTGGTGATGTGTAGAAATTTTATACAATATGACATACAACTATTAAGGGGTGCTCACAAGTGTCGTATTTTTTAAGACTATTGAAATACGACATAAGACATAAGACAAAGCTTGTGAATTACGTAATTATAAAAGAGATAAATCCAAAAGGCATCAGGACACGATAAAACTATTTCAAAATGTAAATGGAGCTATCAAATATTGCTTACTTTATAATGCAATTTTCAGTTTCGGATATTATCATTTAATGGAAAAGTCGCATCATCAAATAGATAAACACGGAAAGGACTTAACCCAGGCGTCTTCTTACAGACTAATACGCCTCCTACCCTGTTTTTCCAAAATATTTGAAAAGGTGTTACTATCAAAGATGTCTTTCCTCCACGCAAATAATACAATTCCAACGCACTAATTCGGGCTTCGTGCAAAACATGACACTGTAGAGCAAGTTAATAGAATTACCAACGAAATTAGAAAGGCATTCAAAGTACAAAGAGTATTGTTCAGCAACATTCTTTTATGTAGCTCCGGCATTCGATAAAGTGTGGCATGAAAGACTTTTATATAAAATTAAAACGTTATTCCCTTTCGCATTGTATAAAATATTGGAGTCTTATCTTAAAAATAGGAAATTTCTTAATTTCATCTCAGATGCACGTCCGATAAGGGCTGGTGTAGTCCAGGGCAGTGCCTTAGGCCCAACACTATATATCTTATATAATATATAGCAGATATTGCAATCGGTACCAGTGCTTGGACATTGACTTTTGTGGGTGACACAGCCATAGTATGCCGTAATAAATGTCGACTATCAAAGGTACTATAAGAGCATTTAGCTTTGGTCGAAGAATGGTTCACCAACTAGCGAATATATGTAAATAAACAAAGTGTAAGCATTCTCACTAAGAAAAAAAGTGTCAGCCGATAAAAATGAATAATATCTTAGTACCACAATTAAATGATGTTACTTATCATGGCATTCATTTGGACAAGAAGGTTTACAAAGAGAAAACAT